CCCGCAAAGCCTACCTCTTCCAGCCACACCCTATCAGGCTTCAGTAACCACTCAATTAATCCCTGCCAGGGGATTAATGCGCTGATTGTGTTAAAGGTCTCATAACCCAAACATTTCATCTCTGCATGTTCGTATATTATCTAACACATGAGTTTTGGGGGAACACCTCACATCTATATCATGATACTAGGCAATTACTCTGTCATATTTATAGTTTTTTAAAAATTTTAAGCAACCTTGCATTCCTAGAAAAAAACACAACTTGGTTGTATTGTCTTCATTACATATTGATGAATACAACAAAGAACAGACGTTCAATTTGCTTTTTTTTTTTGGAATTTTTGTGGCCAAGTTTCTGAGGTAGTTCTTAATTTTGACTTATCTTGAAATATCCTTGAAGAGGTTTTGGTGTCAAGGTTATGCTTGCTTCATAACATGTGCTGATAAGTTCTCTTTCCATTGCTTTGAAGAGAGTGTAAGATGTATGTTATTTCTCTATTAAAATTTGAATGAACTTACCAGCTAACCATGCCATTGGAGACTGGCATTTTCTTTGTGACAGTATTCTTTAACTTTTGGAGTTGAAATCCTAAATAGCTGTGTTTATTTAGATTTTCTATTTCTTCTTTATTATCAGTGATTGAAACTAGAGGTGCTTAGCCACCATATTCAGGTTTTATTTTTTCTTGTATACATTTTGATAACTCGTGTTTTTCCAGGATCACTCATGTTTTCTTCTAAATTGTCTAGTTTCTTGCTTGTTCACAATATCGTCTTATTTGTTTATGGTATTTGTAGTGATGCCACTTTCATTGTCTCAGTGTTGGTTAATTTTGCTTTCTTCTTGTTCAGTGTTTTCAGGTTTATTGAAATTTATCGGTCTTTTCAGAGTTAACATTAGTTTGTGAATGCTCCTTTCCATTGAATGCTTGCTTTCTCGACTAATCGCTTTTTAAATTTTTCCTTTCCATTACTTTTCAATATAACCTTGTTTTTCGAACTTTTTTTTTAGATGACGATGAACCTCAATTTATGCAGTGGCGAGCATCAAACCCAGTGCCCCACACATGCTAGGCCAGCGCTCTGCCACTGAGACCCAGCTCCTGCCCCAAACTTCCTGGAATGTGTGCCCAGGTCGAAGCCCTCTTCTCCCCTCGCCGAGACCTTCCTCGATGGCCCATTTCCAGTGGGACCGGCTCCTGAGAGCCCCTTCCTGGGCGCACACCACCACTCAACGTCATCGCGTCTCCTTTTTTCTCTTCCCACCAGAACAGCATCCCCGGGAGGGCGGCCTTTCGCTCGGTCTGAGTGCCCAGGCCCTGCACCCGTTCTGCGGACGGGCCGGACCGGGACCGGGTTCAGCGGGCCCACGAGGCCGGCCCGCGGTCGTGCCTGATTCCTACAGAGGAGGAAACGGAGGCACAGTCGGCGGGAGGGTCGCGATCAGACCTCTAACTCTTCAGCCGCGCTCCTCCCTCCGCCTCGAGTCTTCTCCCAGAAAAGTGCCGCACGGGCCGGGGGAAGCGCGGGAACCCGGCCTGGCGTCGCCTCGCCGGCGGCCTGAGGAACGCGTGGCCTGGGGCCCGTCAGCGGGGTGCGCGTCCGAACCGCCCGCCGGTTCGCTGCAGGGTTTTGTTCACCGCGACCCAGGAAGGAACGTGGTCCCGGAGGCGGAGGCGGAGGCTGACGCGCGCTTCACGGAGCTTCGCCTGGGAGCGCCAAAGCGTCCTACCGCACGGACGCGGGCTCCCGGAATTCAGAGTCCAGGGTTTGCGTTTCCGGCCGGAGGGCTCCTCCGGCGACTCCCGGAAGCGGCGCTCGCTGCCCTGGTAACGGGCTCGGCGCCG